CAGCAGGGGAAAGCTACACTGCTAGAATGACTGAAATGGAAAACAGAACATCAACACTGGAGGATAAAGTTGAAGAATTGGAACACTCAAGCAGAGATTATGGAAAATTAAACACACACACACACACACACAGGAATGGAATATGCAAGAGATGTGGGACACCATGAAAAGAACAAATCTATGTATCATAGGCATAGAGGAAGGAGAATTTCAGGTTAATGGTATTGACCAGATCTTAAACAGGACTATAGAACAGAATGTCCCAAAATTAAAGAAAGACGTCCCCATACAAACACAGAAAACACATAGAACAGCAAATAGACAGGATCAGAAAAGAAACTCCCCATTGGCATATCGTAGTAAGAACACTAAATGAACAGAACAAAGAGAGAATACTGAAACCTGAAAAAGAACACAACTCACATGTAAAAGAAAGCCCATCAGAATTACAGCTGACTTATCAATGCAAACTATGAAAGTCAGAACAACCTGGACCAAGGTATTTCCAGTTCTACATGACAATAGATATCAGTCCAGAATAATTTACCCAGCAAAAATGTCTATTATGGTTGAGGGGGAAAGAAAAATCTTCCATGACACAAATAGCCTGAAAGAATACATGTCCACAAAACCAGCCCTTCAAAGAATACTTGAAGCAATACAGAGAACAGAGAGAGAAACATCTATACCTTGGGGCAACAAAAGAAAATAAACAAAGATATAATCTAGGACACACAAAATTACACAGAGAACACAAACAGCAATCAAAATGACAGCAACCAAAACACATATTTCAATAATAACCTTAAATATCAATGGACTGAACTCCCCAGTCAAAAGACACAGGCTAAGTGAATGGATTAAGAAACAAAATCCATCTCTTTGCTGTCTGCAAGAAACCCATCTCACCTTCAACAAGCACTACCTTAATGTAAAAGGATGGAAAAGAATATTCCAAGCAAATGGCACTAAGAAACAAGCAAGGGTTGCAATTCTATTATCTGACAAAATAGACTTCAAAGTAAAACTAATCAGAAGAGATAAGTAGGGTCACTTCATTCTGATCAAAGGAACAGTTAATGAAGAAGATATTACAATCCTTAACATATATGCACCAAACTCTGGTGCACCCAAATTCATAAAAACAACACTACAGGACTTTAAGACATAGATTAACCCCAATTCAGAAATAGTAGGGGACTTCAATACCCTACTCTCTCCATTAGATAAGTCAGCTGGACAAAGGGTAAACAAAGAGACACCTGAATTAAATGATACCATACATCAAATGACCTAACAGACATCTTTCAAATATTCCACCCAAGCACCAAAGAATACACTTTCTACTCCATGGAACATTTTCAAAAACTGACCAAATAATGGGCCACAAAACAAAGCTCAACAATTACAAAAAATTGAAATAATCCCATGCATTCTATCAGACCACAATGCAATAAAGCTCAAAATCAACACTGGATGAAGCTCTAGTCACTACATGAACTTGTGGCTATTGAACAACAAACACACTGCTAAACAACCAGAGGCTCAAAGGAGAAATTAAGAAAGAAATCAAAGAATTCCTAGAATTCAACAAAAAGAACAATACGACACAACACAACCTGTGGGACACTTTAAAAGCAGTCCTAAGAAGGAAGTTTACAGCTCTAAGTGCCTACATTAAAAAATTAGAAAGAGCCCAAATAAATGACCTAACACTGCAACTCAAGGCACTGGAAAGGCAAGAACAAATGAAACCCAAACCAGCAGAAGAGGAGAAATAACGAAAATCAGAGCAGAAATTAATGAAATAGAAACAAAGAAAACAATATAAAGAATCAATGAATCTAAGAGCTGGTTCTTTGAAAAGGTAAACAAGATAGACAGACCCTTAGCCCAGATAACCAAAAGAAAGAGCAAATACAAATCAACAAAATCAGAGATGAAGGGGGAAACATCACAACAGACACCCAAAAGATCCAGACCACTATAAGGGAATATTTTAAAAATTTATACACTACCAAATTTGAAACTCTAAAAGAAATGGATAGATCTCTAAAATCATGGGAAGTGCCAAAGTTAAACCAAGAAGAGATCAACAGTTAAAAAGACCCATAACATATAAGGAAATTGAAACAGTAATACAAAGTCTCCCAACTAAAAAAAGCTCAGGCCCAGATGGATTTACAGCAGAATTCTACCAGACATTTAAAGAAGTCCTCCAACAAATACTACTTAAATTATTCAGAAACAGAGGAAGAACTCCCAAATTCCTTCTATGAAGGCAGCATCACTCTAATACCCAAACCGGGTAAAGACACAACCAAAAAAGAGAACTATAGACCCATATCCTTAATGAACATAGATGCAAATTTTCTCAATAAAATACTTGAAACTAACCTAAGACACTCATCAAAAAGATCATTCCTGGGGTTGGAGAGATGGCTCAGTGGTTTACCACACTAGCTGCTCTTGCAGAAGACTGGACTTCAGTTCCCAATATCGACGTG